ACACACACACACACACACACACACACACACACACACACACACACACATAACAGAGCATCCATCATTGTCGTCCACAGTGAATGAAACACAGTCCTGAGTGGATTATGGAAATCCAAACTGTCTTTAGTTGCTTTTCGTGCAGACAGTTGTGGATTGTGATTTTTTTTTTACATATTTACCAAACAATATCTGATCTTCTCAGCGATGGCTTAACAAACAGTTGTTAAAATTCTTAGGATGTGGTGCCAAACTAAGAGAAATCCCTATCTAATTTAACTGCTGTATAAATTCAAAACTGGGCGTGATTAGTTGTATCTTTTAATTCAATTGTAATAACCAACTTTTCATTAACAAAACTGATATAACTTGCGTCATTATTCTTTTCTTTTTTGTGTGAAAATAAACAACCTGCAGGGCTGTTTGTAGCTCACAGATATGGCAATCTTCACAAAAGCTAAAGAAAATATCCATGAGTATGCAGAAACTGTCTGATTTAATTTGAGCTCCACAATCACAGCAGGGCTGATTAAAACCCCCTTTATAAACGAAATTCTTGGTTGTTTCATTCCTTGTTAGATCTTCGTCATATATGCCATATATCTGTCTCTGGTTCCAGTTCCTCTGTCTTTTTTCCAGTCTTTCTCTTTTCAGGTGTGCTTCCTGGTTTGTTATTTCTAGCTTTTAGGTTTTACCCCAGTTTAGTTGTCTTTTTTTGTATCTGGCTTTGGCTAAGCCTTTTGTTTTTTTTTGCTAAATAATTCCAGTTTCCTCAGTATCTCGTGTTTCCTGGCCAGCCCCTATATAATAATTTTATACCAAAGTATTGAATAATAATGACATAATCATATTATAAAGAAGTATCTGTTAGAATCCAAATAAACCAGCAGGGAATCGGACTAGGAGAAATATTTAGAAAACTAACATATCTTATCCACCATAATTTAGTTGAACATTTTCTCTATGAATTCCTCTTCATTTCAAAATGATCAAACATTTTTATTTTGTCCACTACTATGGGCATTTGTGACACATCCTCACTAAAGACATCACTGTCTAGTATGGAAAGAGCACTCAGACTAAACTTTAACTCCTGGCAATTATTTTAGCAAAACATAATGTACTGCCGCACTAATTATTAGTGTTAAGTCATTTGCAAATATGGAAACTCAGACTGTACCTATCTTTGCTGTTTTATTTCTAAATGTTCATTTTAAGAGGGCTAACATCAGTGAATCGATTCCTTCAAGCACCAGGTTCAGGCCCTTTGTGGGTTCTCCAGCTTCCTCCCAAAAACAAGCCAAAAACAAGCATGTTAAGTTAACTGGACACTCCAAGTGAGTGTGTGTGGTTGCGTGTCTCTGTGTGGCCCAGAAATGGACTGGCAAACTTGCCTGTTGTCAGATGGGATGATGGAGGGACTTAAAGCCATCTTGTGGACAGAATGCCTAATTACATGTTTCCTCGCATTGTTTTTGACTTGTGTATGTAGATGTAGTGGAAAAAAACTTTAGGTACATTTACGCATCACAGAGTTTATTTAAACTACCAACGATGTAAAGAAAATAAAAGAGTAGAATTCTATACTATTGAAAGCGAGAAAAAATATAATTTTAAGCTGAACCACCCGTGTTTCTCAATGCACCCAGTATTCGTGAGCTAAAATTCTTTGTTTGTGTCTCTTGTAAAGGTTTGTTTCCTTTAAATAGACTTTTTTTGGAATATAGATCATCCAATTGTTTTTCAAGTTTTCTTCATTAATATTGAAATCTTGTTTCGAGATGTAGGATTTCCCTTTTTCTTTCTTAGTGCAGTTGTGTTTTCTGTATTTTAATTTATCTGAGAGCCTTCTCCACCATGTTGTTATTCACCAATGTATGCATTGTTCTCTGAAGTATTTATTCTCTCACACATTATGCTTTTTTTTGTTGTTGAGATTAGGTTTAGAATTGTAATTGCAGAAATATGTAAGCAACTGACAAAAAACAAAAACAAACTAATTTAGGGGTTTTCATAGCACATAATAAGCTTGGCAGGTTCTTTTTCTTTCTCATGCTGGATACTTTTCTTCTCTAAATGAGGAAACAAAACACCTGCCCTGTGTGAGTCTGCAGAAAAAGTAACTGGATGTTCAAAGTTTTGCCTAAAGACACCCTGCCCTTCTTCCAGGGATCAAACCACTAACCTCACCCATGGGTGATCAACTGTAACTAAATATAAAAGCAACAAATATAATAACAAGTCATTCTTGTAGAGGCAGACAGACATATAATTGTATTATAATAAAGTATCTGTTAGAATTCAAAGAAACCAGCTGGGAATCGGACTAATAATTTTGGTGAAAAAGTCACATTTCTCTTTGAATTCCTCTTAATATGAAAATGGTTAAACAATTTTGACTGCACAATTAGGATAATACATAATGTAGTAAATGCAGTAAAGTAGTCATGCATGTTGTAATCCAATTTTAAAACGCATACTTTAAACTTTAAAGTAACCAATTGATAGACACCGCCAGGCAGAAGTCAACTGTTCTGAAAATGTATTTTTATCAAAATATTTTAACTAATATAGATAGATAGATAGATAGATAGATAGATAGATAGATAGATAGATA